CGCCGGCCGAATGCAGGCGCAACAGAAACGCGTTTACGATCGTGAAATTCACGGAAATGGATATAACGTGGGTGACCGTGTATGGCTACATCGACCAAGGCCCCCGCAGGGCACTTCAACCAAGTTCCATCCGCCGTGGCAAGGTCCCTACGAAGTCGTTTTTCAGCGTTCTCCGACTGTCTACACCATCCGCAAAATCGGCTCTCGAAATAACGAAACAACAACAGTACATTTCAATCAGTTGAAACCTTTCTCGCTGCCGAGAGATGCCCCAGAAGCCGAAATGGAACCTGTACCGCCGGGGGCGCTTCCAGTTGTGGAACAGACAGTCGAAGTCGGGCCCGACGGTGGTGAGGCGGTTGTTACGGGCACTGAGGACAGTGCCGTCCCAGAGGGTGGGCAGTGTAATGGAACCGAAAGTGCTTTGGGCGATATGCATTCCCTAAAACCGAGTTCCCTCTCTCTCCTTCCCTTTCAGGCTTCGCCCGGCGCCCCAGCAACCCAGGAACGTTCTGTAAACGATGACTGACATTCGCCCCTTGTTTAAAGTTACTTGTTCAATATTATTGAGTTTGTATCGATTTTATCGGCCTGTTACGAATCTCTCAATCAACACAGTTTTTCGTTCGCTCCCAGGCGTTGCGCGTCCTGTTTTCGCACCGTTGGAGATAGCCGCGTGTTGCTCAGGGTCCGTGTTGTGACTAACCGACTTTGCCCGTTGCATTACAAAGGCACCTACATATGGCACTACTTTTTGGGCTACAAATCCATCCATTAGGACGTACTAAGCAAGGGATGACGCAGATGCAGTGTTTTCACACATTTGGATATTATGTGTAGCGGTAAAATGACAGAACCAATCAGGAGGATAGTCCGGACTGATAAGCCGCCTTTTCCTCACGCTTTGGTTTGGAAAATGAGGGCTCAAATTAAAATGCAGCAGAGGCCACTTGATATGAAGCCGTTATTGAACGCCCAACAGAGCAGAGCACGTATTGATTTTACCAACGAATTCAAATCGCGTCGCCCGTCCAAGTGGCACTGAGTTTACCTCACCGCTGACCAACGAGTAATTCAGCAGGCGGAGAACGCTAATCTACTGACCTAGTTCTCCAATGAATGTCGTTTTACCCGTCAAAAGAAGTAAATATCCATCCATCCTAACGAGTTGGAAGGGAAGTAAATACTGAGTGCCTTGTTATTGGTCTTCTGCATACCAATATGTATATCGCAGAATGTTTTGCGGTGATAACGGACGTTTTCGGTAACTGCTACTTTTCAAAATGCATTCGCAGAAGTCATATTTTTCACAGATGAAGGTTGGTATATCTTCTCGCTTGAGGTTCGTAGCAGAAAGCGATTATACTTGATTAAATATTATTTTTCACATTTATACAGTTCGGGGAAGGGTCAAGTTCACTGTCAAATTCATTCAATTACCCAGCAGCAGCTGGGACTTTAATTCAATAGAAAACGTTTCCCTGTATCCGAAACAGGGATAAGTTAGCTGCCTCGATATTGGAAGTCAGTGGTTAGGGTGTGGCGTATATTAGGGGAAACTGGAAAAATTCCGTTGGATGGTCAACTCGGTGGACTCCATACTAAAGCGACTGCCCCCAGTGCTCAAAAATGAAGAAGGGCAAATGGAACATGGACGAGAAAAAAGTACAATACCTGTATGAAGTCTATGAGTCATTTCGATAAATAAACTCTAGTTACGTTTTCTACTGTGATTTTATTATTCCAAAACTGATGCACCGGCAACCATCGTCAAAATCGCAAAATTGCACATTTTAATGGCATGCGGTTAATAGAAGCAGACACAAGCGGGTATTATATCAGATATGTTGCCTCTGATGTGGGGCAACATTATATTCAATCCTCCGTGAATGAGGCTAGAAAAACGAAGCATTGAGGGGAACAAATGTGATGAAAATCAGGATGTTGCACGAGTTCAGTCAATACCTGTATCTGGTGAGCATAACTAAAAGGACAGTTTTATTGCTCCTGTTGTGGTTTTTTATGTTGATGTTTATCTCTATTCATCCCATATAAGTATCAAATAGCAAAAAAATCAGTAGTTGATTCCCCTTGGATAAACGACTCACAAAAATTCATGAAACAGCATAGTAATACGCTCGTACAATTTGATGACCACGCAAAATGCAATACTGTCTCCAAGAAGGAAGAACAACACTCACTTCCATTTTCTCCAAATCATAAATATAATCCAATTGGAAACTGATGAGCAATCGAGCTTTTTCCACCGAATCCCGTGTTCCAGATAGGATGAAACCACAATATCGTTCATCAGTCGGTGGCTGTGTAACCGCTTGCGAGCCGCCAGCCTAGATAGTTCAATCGGTGAAGAGTGTAGTGTAATATAGGGAGCAGTACAACCGAAATTCGTAGCACCGATGAGCAGTAACACAACTGGGGATAAGAATAGCTTGCTGACCAAGCACACATGAATTGCAAACTGACTGGCTCGGGTGAGTCTGAAAGTGATGTTACATAATGTCGGAAAGATTAGGCGTTAGGTGTGTAGAAGCGTAATGAAAAAGGTGAAGGGATGAAAAACGCATAAGGCAAGCGGGGCCGGGGGGACCATCCGGAAAGTGGCCGTCAGTCAACTTACATCATCCGTGGAATGAACTTCTGGACGCTGCAGATGGTATAGGATTATCATTGATAAAGATAGAACAATGGTAAAAATAGAATTAAAACCAGTACACGCTCCTAACACTTCAATGTGTGTAGTAGAAAAAAGAGGAACCTAGTGATACCTCAGAGAAAACAGGTACTTTTCATCCGAGTGCTTGGGGCTATAGAGTAAAATTTTACTATGCAGGAGCGAACACCAAGGAAAAGCTTTTCTTTACAAAACCCTATGATCAGGGTCTTAAATGTACAAACGATGATAATTTTTCAGTTGTTTATGGGAAATAAATTTGACCTAGTAAACAGAGGATTTCTTTCCGGCCGGGACCAATGGGATCCCGTTATGTTTGTTCGTGTACGATATGGACTGATGATAGTTTTCTAAGCAAAATAGCATACACAGGTTTCAATCGATCGCACTGTGGGAAAAAATGAATGATTCATTACTTCCTGATCAGCGGTGATACAAACAAATGTTGCCTTGCAGTGTGAACACTATATGCCTGAGTTGAGTTCAACACAAAAAACGTTCAAAGCATTTTACGGTAGCCGAACTGGACACTACTACGACATCTACTCTATAAATCAANATTTTCGGTCACAAAGTTGTTTTATTTTAAAAATATCTGAACTGGATTTTTAAAACCATCAAATGTACCTCTTTACTCTGGTTTTGATAACTGCTTGCCGGTGAACAATAGTTGAAAGAAGTTAATTGTGTGGGACACGAGTACATAATTCCAGGTATACAATGAACACGATCAAACTAGCTTGGAGACTACAATCAATCAAGTGTCTAAATCGAAAGGGAAAAACTACTGGTACATCCTACCGTGAGATAAAGTTCAAGTCACAATCAGCTGCAACTGTATCGGTTAGATCACCCACTCCCGCTTAGATGGGTGACGAGGATCAAGCGGTTTAATTCGCTTTTACTGAGGCCCTCCGGGTCTATAAGTTCGAACCCTGCCAGCGCCAATCAACTTTGATTCGTCGGTAACTGGAGACAGAGCCTAGCAGACAAGCACCGTCATGGTTGACGTTATCATCTTGGAAAACAGGTGACAACGTGAATCAATTTCATCGAGAAGGACGTATAGCCCTGATCGGTATACTGGTCTCGGCAATGGAAGAAAAACTGGGGTCACTATCTGCGACGAGCTAGTTTCGAACCGCCGCATCTAGACAGGGATGTTTCACGATATCCGCGAAGTCCATCTACCCTACAGCAGGGGATACAATACAATCCCACATTTTCTGAAGAACAGAAAAGAAGCATGGATAATATTGCAGCATCGATGTCTCAAGGCGCTCATCGACAATCGAATTCTGATCATTTTCATTATAAAATTTGAACATCATTTTACCGAGGATTCCAGACGAGATATATATTACACCAACTTGGGTTATTTAGTTCAGGCCATAGTCACACGCATATATTAATTGGTTCATTTTAGGGATCATGGGTAGTGGTGGACCTTGTGTCTGTAACAAATTGAAAGAACAGCGCTCATTTTCCGGGGAAGATCATGCTTCCTCCTCCTTCTTATCAGGAGAAACTGGAATAAAGTGAGCTCATTTTGAGCAACTGGCGCATTACAATTTGCATGATTCTCCCAAAAAAGCTGAGTGGGTGGAACACAACACGACCGAAACGACTCAGTCCGCGATGTGATAAGAAGTGAGCTGTATCGTAGCGCTCATGTGGATCGCCTGATCATCTATTTATTGCCAGATATGAAAAAAGCTGTTCGCCGGCACGTCGAATCGCTACCGTCAAACTACCTACGATCATGCAAATGAATGTTTGGCAGTGCTATCGGTGTGGCCTCGTAGCTCAGCTTGTAGAGCATGCGCGTACCAAACGTAGGCGGCGTCCATGCCTGGGTTTGAATCCCACCGAGGCCACTGAACTTTTCACAATGCCGTAGATACCTACGATCAACCGTAACACGGCCCATTAGGGTTAACTCAGTTCTCAATGCAACATGTTTCGGGTTCACTTTCTTTGCCTCCCTCCAATTAAGCCCAATCCCTTTCCATCTTGTGCTTTATCACTTGATTTGTGTGATATGTGAGTTTGGCAGCGATCAATGAAGTTCGGTTCACTGTACGAGATGTTGTTGTTTCGGGTTTAGCTCGTGCGAAATCACAGACACTAGAGTCTGTACGCATCCATCTCAGTTATCGATTTCATCGACTCGGGCAAAAAAAAATGAAAGGGTAAATGGTGGTGGCGCAATGGTTTAGTCGCTGCCACTGACGTGCTTTGGACCATATGGTCCTAGGTTCAAGTCCCGCCACTGCCATTCAACTTCGGTGGTGGGCAGCCTTCCAGTCATCCGGTTTAATACCACGCCTAACCTATCGGGGCCTTATACGGTTTGCCACTCCAAGTCCCGGGGATTAGGTTACCGGTTTCCATCACTGAACAGCAGGTCCTCGTGACTACGGGGCATTCTCCGTCTGCTGTTCGTCACACGAAAGTGTGTAATGAAAAAACGTGGTCAGTCTTGAACTATAACGGAATATTAGCCAACGTTACAAAAATCGCTACAAGAGGATTTAGAAAACGATGAATATGTAAATAATAATACTAATCCATATACTCCGCCAACTAAATTTCGGAGCTTGTATGCAGTCGTTCGATTCTACAGAATAATACACTAACAATCCTAATAAAAATCTTTTTCGTCCGTATTTTTATTGTAAAATGCAAATAACTACCAAGACAACAATTCCACCATTGACATGTCATTGGAATATAATGGTTACGGGATGCCCCTACGTACGTATAAAAAACAATGGGGAGGAATTATTCCAACATGAAGATTACACATACTCGTAGAAATATGCGTCGCATGTCAGTCGACGGGGCTCCAGGATAATTCAAATTTAAGTGGCCTATGTTGAGGACCTCCTCGTCATCTGAGGGACACTGAGTTTGATTGTCCAGATGAATACTGACCACTCCAGATTTTTCAACCACTGAGAGGATATTTGTTGTCCGCCGACCAATAAGCCGAGCAACATACTGTTGTGGAACCCCCAGATAGAGTTCCACAAATTCCAGTTTGGCGCGAGCTTGTTTGGCAGCCTCCGCGTTCTTATGTACAATACCGAGAAGACGAGGGGAAAGAAAAAATTTATAAACATGCGAAGATTAGTAAATCACTCCCCAGCAATGACAAAAGAAAATCATGCTCACACTGATGGGAAATGACTGCGAACTCTTCTGTTTCAGTGTTGAGATACTCAATCGAAGTAGCTATTCACCCCAACCCGATATCATCTGTCTGCTTCGGAATCTACGACGAGAGCAACTCTGTTTTAGTTTAAATTTCGTGGATGTAAAGTTGAAGACAAATGGGGCTACACATAGACCCTACCGAAGCCCAGTAGAAAAGATGAATGATGGTGGATGTAAACAGATACTCGAGATTGATTCAATGTTTGCTGATAGACGGATCTGAGAATCCAAATGCACTTCATCTATCAACAAGCGGTTCTACAGCATAACGCTTTCTGGATGCCATGTATATTATAAGAAAAGGACGAGGAAACACGAGACGATCAAGCACCCGATGCAGTACCGATTCGTGGTGTGAAATGGGCACTACAAGTCTTGGCACCAAGCTTGCTCGCAAGCCGGTTATATATGTGTAGTGTTGAAGTTTTAGCGAGTTATATACCAGCTTTCATCCATGTATATGCGATATGGTTGGCTCAATCGCTGAGAAATTGCGATTTTCATCACACACCATAGGGATTGACAACAGAAGGGGTTAAACCTGATAGATACCATGACCTTGCGCCGTGAAATGCGATCTGTTCAAACTTGAACAATACTTCTGTACAAGGAAAACTGCCTCCGTAATCACTTTTATTCAGCTTAGCTACTATGGTGGATCAACTTTGAACTAGAACAACAATTAATTAAAGGTGGCGTTCAGAGATTGTCATGAGAGTTACAGAAAGTGGAACTACAAAAATAGCAAAAGTCTGAGCAGTCGGTTACATTCCAGCATACCTTTGCTTCCACAACAATCAGGGCAGCATACCCATTGTCACCGACCGGTTCCATCCCAGCCGTTCCACCTCTCCAACCCGGCATATTGGATTCTCGGACGCGAATCGATATGACACCGGGTATTTCACGGGCCGCTCGAATATTCGCACCGTGGGAACCGATGGCTAGGCCCATTAGGCGCTGAGGGACGTAAAACTTTTCCACCACAACGGACGGATCGGTATCCCAGTCACCACTACTCCTTGAATGAGCCATTGCAGACCGTAAATTATCCGGACCTCGATTAACCTGTTACAGTGCATGAAAGAAACAAAACACCGACAAAATGGTAGAGTAAAAGGATACATATGACAAACTTTATTCGAACTGAACCGCGACTGTTGTCGTCACAATAAACAAGTCGGAAATGCAAATCTGCATGCCAGAGCAACATTTGATTTGGCCGCCTATTGAATCAAAGAACAGAATGAAGATAGGAATGTTGACAGCAAATTCAAGAGGAAGATGGTTCCTATAGACTGTGATTGCAAGAGTAATAGGTAGATGCATGAACGCCACTGTTTGCGACACCCTAACGCGACCCACGTGACCCAATCACTTGGTTAAGGTTCTCATACCCTTATGCCAGGTCTTCGTTTGACCACCCTTGACCCTTTTCCAACGGCTACCTGCCTCGGCAAACATCGCTCGCTGTTGCGACCTATCTTGTGACATGCGCAGCAAGTGTCCCAACAAGAGTACTTCATGGAGGTCAACCAATTGTTCCAGCGGACGACCCCGACTAGCTAAAACTCTGCGTCTAACCTGAGCATTGCTCGTGCGATTTTCCCAACAGATTCGTGAAGTGAGGCGTAGGCCGCGGTATTCAAACACCGACAATCTATTGTTGTCCTGTTCCTGTAAGGACCACATCTGCACCGCATAGAAGAAATGGCCGAACTGCCGCAGCATAAACTCGACCCTTCACAGACAGCCGGATGTCGCGGCGGCGCCACAAATGTCTCAATTTGGCAAATGCCAACCGAGCTTTCTGTATGCGTGCTGACACTTCATCCGTAACGCGTCCGCCAGGTGAGATATAGCTGCCTACATAGCAAAAGTTGCCCACTTCCTCTACTACTTCTCCAGTTAGAGTGAAGTTCGGGACCGGGATAACTCAAAACTTAGAAGATGCAAAACGCATACCGAACATGGCTGCACTGCCACTTAAGCTAACCAGAAAAGCTTGCAACTTAATTGGAGTTTCACCTGGCAGTACAATGTCGTCTGCATACTCTAGATCAGACAGTGTACCAACTAGGAGCAAATAGATGCCGCTATCTTCGTACGAGGATAGGGTCATTTTCGTAATCAAATCTATGACAAATGGAAACGGAGAGACAAGGAAACCCCGACGAACACCAATATCCGTCGTGAACTAGGGCGAAAAACTGCCGTAAGTTGGAATTCGGTTTCGGCTATTAGTACTAAGAGATCGTAATATTGAAATAAGCTTCTCGAGCACACCCTTCGGTCAACTGAGTTTGGAGCTGCTTTCAGATCGAGAAGGACAGAGATGGTGGGTCAACGAAAAGAGTGTCGGTGCTCTAGGATTTGGCGAAAAGTGAAGATGTGGTCGACACAACCTCGACCAGGTCTGAAACCAGCCAGTATCATCTCACGCGTGCACCGTTCACGTGCGGCAGACAATCGACAGAGAATAATGTCAGCAAGAAGTTAAGAGACAATGTTGATTAAACTAATTATTGTGATTTTCGCTAGAGGATCTGTCATTTGTTTCGTAAATCGATATGGTGACCGATTAACACCATTCGGTAGGAGCCTGTTCCCTCTCCCACACTAAGCCCATGAGCTTCGTTAACTCCAAAACCAAGGCTGACTCCTCATGCCTAAAAACCGATGGGGACAACCCGTCCGGGTCGGAAGCCTTAAACCTACCGAGATGACTGATCTCCCTGCTAACCTTCATTTCAGATGGAGGATTGGTGCCAACTGGCAGTACTCACTCAGTTGACGCTAGCATATTTATGTTTTCTGTGGACGGGGGTCAGCTGAACTGTGCCTTAAAAAATGTTCAACCCATCGTTCAAGACGGCGTTGCAGAACGTGAGAACTCCAATTCAAGCATCAGTTTTGTACAGCAAATAACCATGCTTTTCATGCGCTGAATTTGGTAACTGTCTTTTGGCTGCTTATTTGAATGAAGAAGTAGGAGAAAGACAGGAACGCTGAAGGTAGCGCCGAATAGAAAATGGAGAATTCCAGTGAACTAAGGGTGCAAAGAAATTGAGAAAATACACGAGCGCCACTGTTTACGACAGTCACATCAATCAATGTCTCTAACCACGGGATCCCCATCAAGGGAGCCTAACGGAACCTGTGACCGAACTTAGGACTCATTATCTAGTGGTAAATGCCATTGAATGTAGTACAGACAAACATAAATACCCATCACAGGCTCTAATCAACCACTGATTGATTCAAAGATAAATTCGTCATGTAAATCACGATACAGTTCAACTCATCTTTGAGAGCTTGTTGCGGGCCACAGACCTCGCTCATCTTAGCAATAACCTTTAGGTTGACTCGGTTGGAAACATTCATAACCGGACAACTACACGACGAATTCATTTTTGAAATTGAACCAAATCCTCCATTACTCACTTGAAATACTGTTGAAATGTTAACTTCACGATACTCGGTCGGGAGATGGTATGTATGCGAACCCACCAAACTGATTCACTAACTGGAGCAGGTGACGTGGTGCGTGCGTTACGCCATCGGGTTTTACTGCATGAAAGCATCAACTACAATGGAGACCAATCAGCGGAGTCAAATAAAGAACCTGAAGATCCAGACGCCGCGAAATATCCCATCTGCGATAATCAACTTCAAGTGGTATGTGAAAAGAAAATTCATGTTACGAATGTGCTGAGATATTAGAAAGAAATAGTTGTTAGGCTCCAAAACAAGAAATTTCTGTTTGAAATTCGAGCAACAAGTAACCAAAATGGGCACGTACCTCAAGGGTTCGCATTGTTTGTCGCAGACTCCGCGTGATAGCCCATTTCTGTCTGAGCATTTTCAGGTGTGTGTCTTCTAAGAGTACGACATTATTTATCGTGTCTTTATCCGTGCTAAGCACTACAAGGCAGCCGGCTTCAGCATCGTAAAACAAACTGGTGGGACCTCCACAGTGCTTGACAAATTCAGCATGAACAGAAGTATCGGATGCACTGAAAAATAAGAGGCAAGTAAACCTGCTGGAATACAAGCGAAAAAGTAGTTTTCCATGCGCAAAACAAAACCAGCACCTCGCATAATCATAGTGAGAGTATGTTTGTGATTTGCATAGAGAGATCAATATGAAAATGAAGAGGACCACTGAGATATGTGTAATGCGACTCGAATACAAACGGTATCCAAGATGCAATCACCGGAGGATGCGCAGGGTAATGTTAAAAACTAATAAAGAACAATATTGAAAATAGTTTTTTTCAAGCGTTACTTCTTGCAAAAGTTTTGTTCTCTTATTACTCGCCGGACGAGAAAAAAACAGATTTAACCAGTTTCAGTTGGGCAATATTCTGGAGCACTTATTGCCCAGAAAATCAGTCGCTCAGAGCGGGTTAAATCTGCGATGGTGAAAGTTCGCACAACCTAATAAAACCAGACCTCAGAATAGAGTAATTGTCACACTGTTTTGTTCAAAACTGTGAAGCTTCGCGGAAAGCGAACACTGATTACGGATAGACGATACACATTCCCCCAAAGGTGACCGATATGCTTTCGCAATTAAGTCAAGCTTCTTCCGGTTTGGTACATATATTGTGCTATAGGATCTTAATAGTTCAAATACTAGGAGTGCAACTACAGGCACCCACTAGTTTTCAAGTCAATTCAAGTAAAGCTTTATGCACTGAACAGGATAAATTTTCAGCCGTTTCGACTATCTTATGACTGAGAGCGAAAACCGTACTGTATGGCGAGCAACTCCAACTGTCAAACAGCTAGGAAAATTTCAAAAGATTCATTTAAAATGTGGAAAACATTCATTTTGACATTGAGAATAAAATTTGCCAGGCGAAACAAGCTGTTTTCGATAAATTCATCAACTATACAACTACAATTATATAGATAGAGCATTCAATATTGGGGAAGCTCAGGAGCAAATTGTTGACGCACGTAGTGTCGCTTTGTACAAAGGGTAATAAGATCCACCGTACACAGGATCAAACAATATTAAATGCTCTACCTACCTATAAATGTAAATGACCAGTTGATGAATTTATTGAAAAACAGCTTGTTTCGCCTAGCAAATTTTATTCATTCAAAAGACAAAAAAAAACACTTGGCATCTCAACTCACCAAGTTATATGCTAGGATGGAGACAAAACGCGTTTGACGAGACTGATGAAGAATTACGAAAAAATCGGCAAAGAAATTACCTTTTTGTATTAACATTAGGATAGTCTCCGCTAGTTTTTGTACGCAACCAATACAAACATTCTTCAAGAGGAGATCACGACCAACCACGAAGAAAATGGGGAAATAGCCATGAAACAACTGGAGGCTAAAATTCACTGTATGCCACACAGTATTACACCGTTGATTTCATATTCACGAGGCAGTTCTTTCGGTCACTTACACACTTGATTCGAGTGTCGCCCTGAATAGGGTTCATCAGTAGTGATCAGTTGGAACATCTCGGTCGGCAGTTGAACTCCCGACCCATGAAATGCAATACTTTTGCTACTACTATCAGCTCACACACTCAGTCTGACTAGGATTACCGACGACAGTTTGTTTGCTCACGGATAAATGAGTTGAAAATCAGAAGCATGAATGATTATTTACCATATTGCGCTTCTCATCATTCCTAGTTCTTTCCGCATGTTCTATAGATCATAATTATAATTGAAAACATTTATGTATGCATTACGTCTTTTTTGAATTGCTATTACGATTTGCATCATCCTTTTTCGTACCACGGTTCGGGAACTACTTGTTTTGATGGCTAGATCCAGTTGACTTTTATCTGACTAGACAATGATTGATTGGATGTAGCTAAACATGAACTGGAACTTGACTGAACTGTTAAAATCGATAGTATGATGACTGGAGTAAGTCATACACCAAACCACGCAAAACTACTGCTGGTATCCATAACAGAGAAGCATTTCGTAGACATCAGTTTCGTTACCAAATTCCACTACAAAAACAATCGACTCGCTTTGACCGTTTTTGGTCATCGACAAAACTCGTATTCTAATACTGTGATTCTATTTGCATCTCACCGTCTTTGTGCTAGACTAAATTGCATTTCCATGCTCGTCGTATTTCACAGCAGCCTCCTCGGTCTTCCTAACTAATTGATAAAAGAACTTGACAAAGTCTACTTATCCTGGGTCGATCCGGCTCGTACGTATGTCACACAATTGACCACACTATCGCGTATCGACGTTTCATTGCTTGCAACCGATTGATCGTACAACATTCGGGCGTTTTGAATTTTCTTTTTTACACAGCAGACGGGGCGAACCCCATAGTCACGAGGACCTGATGTTCAGTGATGGAAACCGGCAACCCAAGCCCCGGGACTTGGAGTGGTGAACTACACAAGGCCCCGATAGGTTAGGCGTGATATTGAACCGGACGAAAGCAGAGCTGCTTGCTACCAAAGTCTTGAATTTGACAAGTGGGTTTGTGCTGAGCTGGGTAGGTGGAACTATGCAACAAGAAAAGGTATCAGTCTGGCGATCCGAACACTTGACCAACCAATCACATGTAAGCAAGGTAGCAGTAAGTGGATCAACAGCTATTTGATTGTACGCGAGCTGACCAGTGTATGCATGTGGCGTCTGATACCACGTCATCGTGCGTGGTGGTGGCGCAATGGTTTAGTTGCTGTCACCGGCGTGCTTTGGACCCTGTGGTCCGAGTTTCNGGGGCCATATGTGGTTCACCACTCCAAGTCCCGGGGCTAAGGTTCCCGGTTTTCATCACTGAACAGCAGATCCTCGTGACTATGGGGTCCACCTCGCCTGCTGTTCATCAAACAAGTGTGTATTAAAAAATAGTAATTGATGAATATCTATGCTTGAATTTCGTTAAAATGTGGCAGGTGGTGAGCATGCAGTGCGGACGGTGGCACCGCTCATCTACAGATTACCTTACGTGCTGCAAAATGGGATGTANACCCTTAGCTTAAATGCTAGAATTTCTGACTTGGCCTGGATTGTACCAAAAATCGAAAAAATGTTATCAGTTTATTACGCTCATGGTGGTCAACGAAATTTTGATAGGACAGAATATGAAGGCATCGCTGTCGATTTGAAAACGCACTTATCATTTCACCAATTTTTGAGCGGACAGGTGCCACAGAAAATAATGACGGTGAGTCCCTTAACCAGTGGATCAACGTTCGGGAAAACGGCTGATAGGAGCTCATGGGGCGTAAAGACTTGTTCGGCTACTTTGCTTTGATTCGCAGTCGCTCAGTTTCATTACAGTTCGAAAATAAGCACCAAATTCTGTCGGTGAATGGGAAATTACAACAGTCAAATTTGCCGAGATATGCTCGACTATGACCATTTCCAACGCGTCACTCCCAACGGTATTATTATATTTCACACTTTTCTGAAGACAGACTGCGTGCCAAACAAATCATGGAACAATAATCTTTATAAAAAGGAAAATGTTCCACGATTGGCTTGTGGGTTGAGTACTGCCAGGTTGCCTAGGCCAAGGCAGGTGAATTTTCTTGAGGAATCCACAACCGGAGCCTTCGGTTAGCCAAAGCCTGACCCGCAAGGCAGCGGGGCGGTGTGTGAAAACCGTAATCCATTGAGAGCCGGTGTCCAGTTCATCGGATCATACGCCCTTCGGACGGGGTCAGACGTCCAAGGTGCCCAATACACCTCAATGCCCAATTGAGTCGGTGACCACTGCCGCAACCGAAAAGATGTGGGTGTGGTTCGTACGTCTCCTCATGGTTGGTTTGGAATCAGGGTTTTTGGCCAACTCCCTTAGGTGAACTGCCAGTGGTCCATCAACCCGGTTATAGCCCCGAATATCGGTTTTTCGTCCTCTCACTTTGGTGGAAAAACACCTCCACCGCGAGAAGGAAGGGAGTAGGGCTTCCTCAGCAGAGGCTATTTGAGACGCTTCGTCGTATGGGAGCATTTCGTGAGGTTCAAGGGCAGAGTAACTCGCCGCAACCCTAGACACCCATCCCCGACTAACGGTATGGAGGTCTAGCCTCGACCAGCTATAAACANACCTTGTCAAGCGAACCTATCGACGGGAGGATGCAATAGTGAATGCATGCCGACAGATTTGTTTGAGTTAAACGCAATTTGCAATGGAAGATTACACTGTATTCGAATGGGCAATTTCTTGTTCGGGATACTGTGACAGCGGGTTCTGATAACAAGTCATAGGAATTGACTGCTACATGCAGCCTAACACCTGTCCAGCACAGTGTCATACCTACCGTTTGAGTTATCACTATGCGCGCATAGGTTTGAGTTGCAAGTTCCCGTTGTTGGGAGTTCGCAAAAAGATGTGATTTGCGATCTCGTTCAACGGCCAAAAATGAACAAGATCTGTTGGAGCGAATTACTGCTGTTCGGTATGGCGAATACAAGAATACGCATCTAATAGTGGACCGTTTCATCAACTACCCTGTGTGCTTGTGGGAATTCTGCAGACTCGTTCCAAATGAGATATTTTGTTGTGTGAATGACCGTTATTCTTAATATACAATTTTTTTCGACCGGGAACCGCCTTTTGGAATGATAACATCGTAACAGCTCTGTCAGTATTCGTGATTGTGAGGGTTCGCCTTTTGGATGTTCTCTAGATCAGGATGTAATAAAAAGTGACACGACAACCTTTCTTGCACTATTATTCGCCTTAGTGGAGCTTTATGTGGAGCGCAGTTCCTGACCACGGCTTTTATTCTACCGGTTTCATGAACGCATGAGAAAGATCCTGCAGCTACAGAGTTTGCGCTTCCTGGTCCAAACTGGCAAGTGTAATGAGAAACATGAATAGTGATACTCAAAAACCTGTTCATTTAAACCCAGATGAAGTGACTAACTGACAAATCAGGAAAACACCATCATCCAAAAAAGTGAAATTGAGGGATAGCACGGGCAAAATTAATCACTCGAAGAGAAACATTAGAATTCACCCTAAGGTGGAATAAAACATGAAGGATTTCTGAACAGAAAAAAAAATCGTGCGAAGACAACAGCTGTTTCAGTCCAACGCAATACGCTAACATCACTACCTGTTTTCTTGTCAAATTAAGACAAATAACTAATCAGTTTGCTTTCATCATAAAAACAATCAACACTCATCTGCGCTAGTAGCGCTCGGTAGTTCGAAAGCGTCGAGTATATACGGTTACAAGTATTGGGGAAAGGCTAACAGTGAACATCAGTGGGACAAAGAGTAAACCGACATCGTGACATCCCGACAACCAGAAAAAGGAATTTCTAACCTCATGGGAATTAACCACGATGTTCAACATTGGAGTGGAGTTGTCGGTCTGACAGTGTCACTATGATAAATCCATGCTGTCTAGATTTCTCACATTATATATATATATATATCATAATAAGTAGTACAGGAATGACTGGACAAAATTTCCCTGTAAAGGCGATCATGTCACGTTTGTTGCGGATAGTAGCATCTAACTCACTTACAAAAAAACGATGAGTTGATTCTTCAATGGACTGGTCCTGAAAGCACTGGAATGTTGATCATTTATCTTCCTATTTGTCATATCCCTCCTACTATATATATATATATATATATATATATATATATATATAATATCTTCTTAAAGGCAAAATCACCCCACTAATTTTCTCTGCTGTTTGCGGCATGTACAAATGTAGACGTACCCATGGGCAGTCACCTAGCAACTCTACTTTCACCAAAGGCTTCCTTTGTTTTGTGATCCATCCTACTGGCAGGCCTTTTGCTAGTGAACATTA